TGGTCCACTTACATAATAAAGAGTTTTCCCCTTCAGGTCCAGAGTGATGGAATTAAGGCATGATAATATTGGCCCTTTATCCAACTGACCACACGGCATCTGAGAAATGAACCAAACCTGGATTCAAAACGCAGCCTAGAGAGTTGCCCCTGCACGGCCCCATGGGAGTCTGACAACCAATCAGAATACAAGCTCAAGATCAAAGGCCAGAGAGGGCATAAAACCAGGGACTCAGCTTCTCTTCCTCCCTTCCCTTCTCCACCAACATCGAAGCATGTGATCACCTTTTCTGTTCAGACATGTGGTCCTATCCACCATTAAAACCATCTTTCCAAGCAGCCTCCATGTCTCCAGTGTCTTTTTCCCCACTTGGAGCCGAATCCAGAAGGACAACATTAGAAATTGTTTTCTTACCTCACTAAACTCAATAAGAATTGTTTTTAAATAGCCTGTATAGGTTTGAAATGCTTGCATGATACCAACAGTGCAATTAGAAAAAAGTGATTTATCAAAAAGCTAATAAAAATTTGGATAAGTATATGAGTAAAGCCCATTTAAAACATTCTTACAATTTGCTATACTTCTAAGCTAAGCAGTTTTTTAAAGAAAAAAATTACTTATATTACCATAGAGGATTACTATATGCAATACAACTTAATTTTTCTGTTTACCTTAGTTTGTTCATAGAAATTGTAGGATTTCCTGTTCGTAGTGTACATTGTATTAATGGGTCTCCTTCCCCATTGCTTCAACAAATCTGAGAATTCATAATACTGTAAGAGAGCTGCCTAAAGTCACTTAAAATAAATAATTCACCTACAATAAAAGTGCCTTTAATATGCTTTATTTTTACATATATATATGAATGCAATTTGTCGTGTATTAAACAATGTTGCAAAACACAAAAAAAAATTATAGTTGCTGGAATTTGGCATGTATATTTAAGCAATGCTGCTAAACAAGAAAAAAAAACAGAATTCCAGTTGCTGTAGTTAGAATTTGTCCCAAGATAGTTCCCTTCACCGGTGCATTGCCTAAAAGAAATTAAGAATATTTCAGTCATGTCATGACTTAAGTTTCAACTGTCAGTTTTCATGCAATGAAATTATACCTTGAGGTGTCATCATGGTCACTTCCACAGGTGATATCTCAGTGTTCAGATCTGCACTGTCAGAGTGTATCTCATTAGATTTGTCATCAGAATCCATGCCCAATACTTCATCTATGGACAAGTGTATCTGAATGTTAAAACTCAATTTTAAACATTTTTTTACTATTTTTAAGTCTATTAGAGCTTTAAAAGTCAAAGGGATTATTTTGTAATTTCCAATCCCCCCTCCCTCAAAAGGAGATCATTCAGATTTGCCTCAAACCTGAAGATATAATTTCCCACATCACTCTTATGTAACATTTTGTTGACTGTCATTACTTTAAGCAAAACTACTCAACCTCTAAACTATAGCGTCTCCAAATTGCATCCTCAAATATTGTAGTTCTTTCAATACCCCTACCATTGGTACCACCCAGATCGCTTTGCGAGGGGCCATGGGATGGTGGCATCATAGTATGGCAGGTTAAGAGGAATGTAGGATTGCTTTTTCAGCAACACCATTGTGACAAGCAACAAAATGTTGTAGCAAAATGGCAGTGAAAATACAGAAATATCAGATTATGCATTATGTTGTATGGTTAATAGATATTTAGGATAGAAAGAACTACAATATTTGAGGAAGCAAGAGAGCTGTCTAAAGTCACTTGAAATAAATAATTAACCTAAAAGTGTCTTTAATATGCTTTATTGTTACATGTAAATGCATACAATTAGGTATGTATATTTAAGCAATGCTGCTAAACAGGAAATAGTGGAATTCCAATTGCTGTAGTTAAAATTTGTCCCAAGATTGTTCCTTTTACTGGTACATTGCCTAAAAGAAATTAAGCATATTTTAGTCATGTCATAACTTAAGTTTCAGCTGCCACAGTTTTCATGCAATGCAATCAAGATACCTTGAGGTGTCATCATGATCATGTCCACAGGTGACATCTCAATGTTCAGGTCGCCACTGCCAGAGTATACCTCATCAGATTCATCATTAGATCCCATGGCCAATACTTCATCTATGGACAAGACTGGTTTTTAAACATACTTTTTACAATTAAGTCTTTTACAGCTTTAAGAATCAAATAGATTGTTTCGGCAGAAAGTTGCATGGCATTCTCCACCTCTGCTCCCTCAAAAGCAAATCATTCAGATGTATGTTCAATATTTCTTTGGCTACCTCAAACCTGAAGATATAAATTCCCACATCGCCGTTATCTAACATTTTGTTGACTACACTTTTATTTTAAGCAAAACTGCTCAACCTCTAAACTATAGATTGTTTCCTCATTTATTGCAGTTGTTTCAAAACCCCTCCCTTTGATACCACCCAGATCACTGGGGGTGGGGGAGTACGACACACGAATGATGTTTCAAATTTCATATGTAAATACATACCTAGGGTTTTAATATTTGGCTTAAGATAATGTATAGACTGTACCTTTCCTAATCTATTAAGGTTTTGATATCAGTAATTGTTTATATTATATACCTTCATGATATTTGTCAACATGATCTGTATATGACAGCTTAACGAAAAAGTAGGGCTTCTTTTACAGTAGAACCATTGTGACTAGTTATGGTTTCCTGCAGAAAAAAATTCTTGTAGCAGAATGGTAGTCAGAATAGAAATGGTAGATAATGCAATACATTATGTTACACGATTTTTAGACATCTGCAAGATAGAAATTTGCAGAGCACTACTTGCCTTTCACAGTTCTGTTTGGAAGGAGAATCCAATGTAGTTCTTTATCAGCCTTAAGGATAAACTCATGTCCAATTTCATAATCAGCATCCACTTCTATCACAGGAAATATGTCTATAAAAGGGACAGGTCAAGAATAAAGTACTAATTGCTCTGGCAAGTTATTTTACCAGCCTGTCAGAACCTCTAGTAAGCAGACCTCTATCAAGGTTTAATCTACATAAAATAGCTCTTTTGTGAAGATTGTGATTAAACAACAAACATGATTGGGGACGGAGGGAGGGAGGGAGACACACACACACACACACACACACACATATTGCATTCTGAGTGAACATATAACAAAGTAAAAGGGGGTCTGAATACTTTCTGAATGCACTGTTATCTATAGAAAGCTTACCATGTATTCTCCATGTAGGGAGTTTCTTCCATTGCATAGATTTGCAAGCAGAGCTGGATCAATAGTTATGAATCTGGATAGTACTCCTATCTAAAATGCCCTACAGTCATCTCAATTAACAAGCTGGTTTGCATAAACACCACTTCAATATTAGATTCAACTTTAATGAGAAAGTCAAATAATTCTATGCTTGTAATGCTAATACTCTAAATTGTAGTTAACATTAATAAAATATTTTTCTATTTTTAGCACTTTAAATAAAATGCTTACTATCGCTAGTTAACATTGTATAAATGTTACCAATTGAAATATGTGTAACATATCAATGCATTAAAAAGGCAAAAAAGAACATCACAGTTACGCACTAGCTTTCTGGCCTTTTGCCAGCATCTCTTCTTCTACTCCTACTTGGTCTCTTTCATGATTCCCAGCAGCCTTCTGGATTAAGACAGGACCCACCACAAGGTCAGCTTCCATTTCTCCTTTAGAGAGGTCAACTACAGTTATCCAAACACAAAACATATTTTGATTACGACAAAAGTTTGGAGAGAGTCCCATCCCAGGCTTTATCATAAAACTACACTTAACTGTTCCCTATACAAGGGGCAAGAGATCCAGCTGTGTGCAATTCATCTTCAATAGTAAATTAAAATACTATTTTTAATACAATTTATGAAAGTGTACAATGTTTTCTTTCATTATGAGGCAAGTTTCTGGGAAACTTCATCTTACTAATATTGAAGTTACAGTTCTTTATCTAGGACATTATTTCTGTTTCAACCTACCATAATTTCTGTTTGAACCAGTTTTCCTTTGGCTGGACACATGAAGACTGCCGGTATCACTTGATTTGTGCTTTCCAGGAGAACCACAATCTCCAGTCTCACAGCAGTTACAGATTTCCATGGAACCCTCTACAGGTAACCAACTAATAGATTAAAAAAAAAACAGGTCAGAGTGTTTCAGAAATGTTTCAGTCTTTTTTTTAATGCAAGCACATATAGTACTTACATCTCTCTTTCTCTGTTGAATGAGCAAGCTTTATTTAAAAAATCTGGATCCTGGGCAGCTGCAGTGGCTTTCAGATGGCATGCAATGTAGATCTTGATAGGGAGTGGAAATAAGAAACGATTAGAAGAGGGAAAGCTAGCATCTCACCGCATAAGAAGATAGCCAAGGGCATAACTCAGTGCTCACCATGCTGTTTTCGTCTCTAGCGATTTGGGATGCTGGAATGGTAAACTGGAGTGTTTCTAACTGAGTCCTTGGAATTATGAAGGATGGCCCTACATCATGAAAATTTCTTTCTATGAGACATCTAAACCCAGAAAAAAGAGATGTGGTTGGAGAATTATTGTAGTGTAAACTAGTTCATTTTTAAAAAAACAGCTGTTCGTTATTCATTGGACATCTCTGCTTCATTTAATTCCAAGGAACTGTATATTGCTAAAGTACTGCATATGATTCTGGAAAAGTTGTTTTAAGTCTACTCCCCATAGAGTAAGCAAACTTTTTTTAAAAATGGTGATACTCAGCAGAGAATGAAGTCTCTTAACAGCTTACTTCCCCTTTTGTATTCTTTAGAATAGTAACAGTGTTTAACTTTGAGGACTTTGAAGACCCATCAACCATTTTGTAGAATTTTGACCTCCTAGCATCTATTTGTGTGGTTAAAGTAGATATGACAACATAACATATCCATTATACCATTAAGTAGTTTATGGCCATAAAGTAGTTTACAATTAGAGTAATACTCAATTTTAATACAACTCAATCTGGTAAATCAGATTGTTGTGGCTGGATGAACCAGGACTTACTAAATGTCTATGAAGCTGAGAATTGCACAATCAACCCAGTCTTTAAAATCCCATAGGAAATTTTCTATTTTTGGAAACTTGTATCACCAATGCATAGTTTATACCCAGAACTGTAATTTTACCCATGGAAGTCGAGGATATTATATTGTGGATCAGAATCTCCATCAGCTTTTGATGTGGCCATGCAGGTATCAATAAACAGGCGGAGTGGTGAGTGGTTTCCTTTTCTGATATCTGCTTGAACATGGAGGTTATCACCCAACAAGTATACAGTAGAATTTTTTTCAGCTTGCCAGTCATCTGTAGTAATACAACAACAACAAATTAAAACATTTTCCCCAAGGTGTTCACCTAAAATATGGAATCTAACTTGCCTGTCATCAGACGCAAGGAAAAGTACTGCTTTTCTTTCTCAAACGTTGCTGAAGTAAAAGGTACCCAGGTGGTCTGGATGGCATTACTGTTCACATCATTTTTCCTGAAATGAAAGTGTGTCATTTATTGACATGATGCAAGTGAGCAAGTAGACAGCAAACATAGACAACACTTCTCACCATGAGTAGTGGCAAGCAATGGGGAACTCTTCTGCACTCTTAACAGTTGTCAAGTTGCTTGCAGACTCCGGCTTATAGTACAAGCTAACATTATAGAGCATGAAATCAAGTACCTGGAAGAAAGCAATTTTGAATTTATAGTTTTATAATGGCGAGTTATAAACCAAGTTATAAACCAAGTTATAAACCAGGCATGTTGGGGGTTTGCTCTCCTCTCCCTTTTATTTGAAGGAATAAGTCCATTTAATTAAAATTGGTGGTTTAAAAGCAGCACTTTCTCAGAAACTGAGCTCAGAGGTTTAACTAAGACTAACTCTTTCTTCAAACCCAGATTTGTAAAAAGTGGAGTTTCAGACAAATTTAATTCTGGTTTCAAAAATCATGCTACACCCAAATTAAACCTCCAAACCTAGTTCATAAATCATACATGACAGAAAATAAAACGTCTCACATTAGTTTGTAACTTTGAACTATAGTTAAGCAAATAAACCACAGTGAGCTGAGTTTTCATAACTCATAAGTCATGGCTGACAATTCACTGTAATGAACATATCACACAAGTACAGCTACAGATTTTGGATCCCCCCCCCCCAGCTGCTAGGTATTTTAAGTCTTTGCAGAGGGGGAAGTATGGTGTTAATAGTGAAGTGAATGCAGATGTTAAGATTTCCAATTCAAATTAAGCTGACTCGGGAAACCATAAACACAGTGATGGTTCATTTATAATAAAACTGCCAGTCACCATTTGTTAAAAAGATGGTCTTAAGTTTGCCTGAATCCCATATTATTTCAAGCTTTTGAATGTTAATAAATCCACAAGTCTGAAATGTTAATACCACTTTATAATGCCTTGGTAAGGCCACACTTGGAATACTGCATTCAGTTTTGGTTGCCACGATGTAAAAAAGATGTTGAGACTTTAGAAAGAGTGCAGAGAAGAGCAACAATGATGATTAGGGGACTGGAGACTAAAACATGAAGAACGGTTGCAGGAACTGGGTATGTCTAGTTTAATGAAAAGGAGGATTAGGGGAGACATGATAACAGTGTTCTATTATCTCAGGGGTTGCCACAAAAAAGAGGAAGTCAAACTATTCTCCAAAGCACCTGAGGGTAGAACAAGCAGCAATGGGTGGAAACTAATCAAAGAGAGAAGCAACTTAGAACTAAGGAGAAATTTCCTTAGAGCAATTAATCAGTGGAACAACTTTCCTCCAGAAGTTGTGAATGCACCCACACTGGAAGTTTTTAAGAAGATGTTGGATAACCATTTGTCTGAAATGGTATAGGGTTTCCTGCCTAGGCAGGGGGTTGGACTAGAAGACCTCCAAGGTCCCTTCCAACTATTCTATTCTATTCTATTCT